GGGGGGGGGGGGGGGGGGGGGGGGGGGGGGCGGTGAAGGATACAGAGAGTCATGGCCAGACACAACATGGAGCCACATTTCATCTCACAGCCATTGCCACACACAAACATGTCGCCAAAATACACAAACTCGTCCTTTTAATACCGAGATCTAATGAAACTAATTAGTATTGGGTGTATCTCCGGTCAGTTTTAGAGAAAAAAAAAAATCGGGTCATACTGGATTACAGCTCACCAGCTAGCTCAGATAGCCGGCCGAGCTCTCTTTGTTGTCGCCAAAGGAGTGAAGCTCCCTCCCAAAGATATGGCACCGTTTCCTTTGAGTGTGAGATCGTTTTCAGAGCTGCTCTGTACTTTAGATATTTCGTGGCTTCGGTTGCGTTTTGTGGAACTCCAGAGGCCCTCATTTTCATACCAGATCCTGTAAATCAAGTTGGCAGTCGGCAGACTGGAGCTTAGAACACAGGACACAGCCAGAAAACCGCTCCCTGTTCCGTCACGTCGTCCCATCAGCAGAGGTTTAACGTTACTCATTTGAATATTATTCTGCTTTACAAGGAAATAAAACTGGCTCTAGACTCAGTGGGGAGAAGAAGAAAAAAAGAGAAAAACATCACAAACAGAGAAGAGATGGTGAGAAGGATTGGACAGTGGGTCCATCAGTTCCATCCAAACACTAGCCAGTGCATCTCCTTCCCTCACTGCCACAGTTTAAAGACACAACACACCACTTAACGACGCAGAGCACCAGGCTCAGAATCTGTGATTCAAACCAAAGCGAATGGATATTTTTCACTGAAACCAGCAGTTTAAACGAGATGAAGGCAAACAATGGCACCGTTTGGCCAAATTGCATAACAGGACTATGGGGAGCACAGATAAAAGGAGTTTGTCGGCTCAAAGTCATCAGAAGCATTTGCAGAAAAACTGTTAAACCAAATTTATTTTAAATCTCGAATGCATAATCAAGCACATGTCCATCGAGGTGTCAATGGATATGCAATCAAGCAAGAAAATGAGCCATGTTCATACTTGATAAAATGGACATGGGGCTCCAGGAATTTGTGTCTTTTGGGTAGGTTGTGATTCTTTCATGGCAGTAATTATTGAAATACCAGCCTGGTCTCATTTAATCAAATGTCAGGCACATCAGAGCTTTGTGGCCTTTGCCATCTGGGAACTATAATCAAACAGGCAAACTACCAAAAGTTGTGAAATACTAGGATATTTCTTGAAATAGCCAGTTACTAATAATTTCCTTTTGACATTTCACAGTCATTCGGGTAAACTAAAATGAGTTTAGAATTTAAGAGTCCACAGGGTTCAGGATAGTTAATCTTTAATTAAAGATAAAGCTATTCAAGCTAGATTCCCATTTTAGAGCACGTTTTACGGGACATTAGCTGGAACCTCTTGGCACGACGATCAGGGACAGTAGGATGTCTTGGACGTAAGAAGCTGATAAACAATGATTAACAGCAACTGGAACATGCGATTAGACTGAAGCAGATTTTAAGATTGACCCACTCCAGTTTGCTCCAGTCCAAAACCTCCGGCTGCCAGCGAAAAGCCATCGGGCTCCCGCCGCCATCTTGGCTCAGGTCTGCCAGCCGTGCAGAGCAAGACTGAGCAGCTGCCCGCTTACAAAACATCTGGAGCCAGTTTAATTCCACTCCGCATTTAATCATTATTCCCACAATCCAGTTGTCGGGTAAATTTGAGCTTCCTGTAAGGATTCAGGTCTCTGGCTCATCATGTGGAGGGCACAGGGTTCACTCCTCATGATCAGGGCAGAGAAGAAGTAGATGGAGATCGTTACTAGCTTTTCAAACCTGCATTTGAGGGCTTCTCACGCCAAATATCAACTGACACAAGTGGATCAACAGCCAATCAAGAACGATGACTCTGCAATTGCTGCTGGTGTTAAATTATTAACGGGCTTCGGCCCCGATGGTCCTCAGTGGCTAATGGCTCACATTTGGATAAAGCCAACCCAAAATAGACACACAGGTCGATAGCTCAAATCATACAAATAATCTCATGTCATTTTAGAGAGTTAAAGACTAAAGTTATCCATCACAGGGAGTGTTTAGGGAATTTTAAATGTATGATAAAACTATTTGTTGTTCTACCCGTGGTGTGATCTGCCCCATGGAATTGGCTTAGCACAGGGATAACATGGGAATCAGCTCTTTTACACTCAGATATTCCAGCCGACAGTTTCTAAAGGATGTTTTGATCATTGTTAGTGGTATTAACATTGTGCTTGTATGCCATCAAACCATCACCATGAACATTTAAAGGGAAAAACAAACATTGATTGCTCAATGTTGGAGAAACACTGATGACAGCTTGTTTTTCTTTGGTTTCTAGTAAAATTCCGTCTTCAGTGTTATGTTAGAGGGGGAGTCGACTTCCATTTCTGATGTTTGTCACCATATACCAGCAAATCCTCTGAAAGTTCTAAGCTCGTACTTTTCCACATGCCAACCTCTTTTGTCCGCCCTCCATGTCCAAACAGGACGATCTCCATTTTGTGTGCAAGCCTGAATGCGATTGGGAGGAAAAAAAACACACAAAAAAACATAAACAGATGAATATTGCAGTGACAAGGAAACAAAGCAGGGACAGAGAGCAAACATGCCCCGGATGTGACAAAGACACCACTAAAAAGGAAACTGAAGGGATGGACGCATCATACTTTCCAAAAAAAGAAGCAACCCACCAAAACTACACCACATTCTCAGTCTGCCCCTAATACTGCACACCAAATATAGTTTCAGAGCAATCAATCAAATCCCTGTTACTGAACACAGTCGTTGCCAGTCTTCTCCTCCTCCTCCTCCATGCAAATCCAAGCGAAGAGCTAACTGTGCTGACTCTGTGACATTTACATGCTTCATCTTCAGTTGATTTGCGTACATTTTCTGAGGGATTAACCATCACCACGGCACATTAAAAACAAAAAACGTGAAGGCAGTGGCAGCTATTCAGCACGAGGGCTGCCACTGACAGGCTGAAGGCTGGGGGAGGAGAAGCCCAGAGTGTGCAGAGACATAATGGAACAGATGTTAAAGGGAACAAAAAAAACACAAAAAAATGTACAAATCTGAAGATGGAAAATGTTAGGAGGGGCAGGAAGGAAGAAGGTGGAGGGACAAGCCCGTGTCTGCACTCAGCCTAAAGAGTGGAAACCTCAGAGACAGAAAATAAAAAAACATCTGACCCAAACATGAGGAAGCCAAACAAAAGTAACATGGCTTTAAAGAGCTGTATCGAATATCATTGGCTCGAGCGTCTGGAGACAACTGCTTTCAAAAGCAGGATGAGGCTCTGATTTCAGCATTTTCACCCAGATGCTTTCATCTGTGTCATACTTCCACAATCTGAGGCCATTTTGCCCCTTTTCCCAGCATCATCTGCATATGAATGACGCAACACGGGCACATGGTGCTCCGTTCCTGCCCTTTGTTGGAGGGAATCAGACAGCATGGACAACAGGGCTGAGGAGGGGATTCACATCAGCTATTGGAGAACTTCAAAGTGCCTTCAGCTTCATGCAAACACACACACACACACACTGCTATGATTGACTATAGGCCATGTCCACTGTCATTTGGGATGAGTGTGTGTGTGTGTGTGTGTGTGTGTGTGTGTGTGTGTGTGTGTGTGTGATGCATGGGGGGGGGTTCTGCCTCACATTCCGTCAGTTAACCCCCTGCTCTGCCAGAGGTGCCAACATTCATTCTCCATCAAGCGCGCGCGCAAGCACGCACGCACGCCCTCGAGGCAGGCCGGCCGGCACGCCGCACCCACCCACCCACCCTAACCCATCCTAACCCAACCCTAACCCCACCCTAACCCTAACCCTAAACCCACCTTGTCGGGTGGAGACGTTCCTCTCGTTGCCCGCGGTCAGCACCACCTGCGGGTGGCTCTGCTCCAGCACGAACAGCTCGTCCTTGCCCACCCGCGCGCTCTTGCCGGACTTCATGGTGCCGGAGGGGCCGGAGGGCGCCAGGTAGCGGCCGGCGCAGTCCCTGAAGGCCACCTTCCCGGAGCGGAACTCCAGCGTGTAGCCCGTGGCGCGGTCGGCGGCGGGGGCCAGCGCGCCGTCGTGGCGCAGGAAGCGGTTGTCGGAGGTCTGCAGGTGGTAGCGCTGCTCGAAGAACACCAGCGTGATCATGGAGTCCACCCCCCACGGCACGTCGCGGTCGATGGCGATCTCGTCCGCCTTGCCGCTCAGGTGCGCGTAGCGCTTGCGCGTCAGGCTGAAGAGGTTGACCTGCGGGTGCATGGCGATGTGCACGCTCCACTTCTCCGCCACCGAGGCGCTCTGCGCGAAGCAGATGATGCGGTCCTCGGAGCCGCCCAGGTAGCGGCCGTGCGGCTCGGACTGCAGTGACCAGCGGCCGTCGTCGTGCGCCGTGATGACGAAGCGGCAGTCGGCCGCGGGGCTCTCGCTGTCCCCGGTCACGTTGCCGTCCTTGTCGGCGGCGATGTAGCGGCCCAGGTGCGACTTGAGGCAGAAGACGTTGCCGCTGGCGTCGTCGCCGCTCTGCTCCAGCGTCCAGATCTGCTTCTTCTTCATGCTGCTGGCCGACGCGTTGATCTTGAAGCCGAACGCCTCCGCCGTCAGGTACTTGTTCCCGCAGTTGATGAGCCCGAACTGGATCTGCAGCATGTCGCTGGTGCCGTTGCTGGAGCCGTTGGTGGTCATGGTCAGAGGGTTGGTTGGTTGGTTGGTTGGTTGGTCAGCCTTTAAAGGGCCGGTCCGGAGCACGTCTGTGTGTGGGGGGAAAAAAAAAAGGGATGGAGAGGCGCGTGTGCACGGTGGAGCTCGCGGCTGAAAGGGTGGGATGCTCTGCTGCTGCTGCTGCTGCTGCCTCGCGTGCTTCTTTGTTTGGGAGCGCGTATAGATGTGTGTGCGCGCGCGTGTGTGTGTGTGTGTGTGTGTGTGGCAGTTGGAGGGGAGTCTGGGAGAGCGCGCGCCGCCGGTCGTCAGTGCTCTGCTTGTCTCAGCAGCGCGAGCCCGTTCGCCACAGCTGCAGCCTATATAACCATCAGTGACGTTGCCCCGGAGGCCACGCCCCCCCCCCCCCTGGCAAAGCCCAAAAAATCTGGGAGCAGAGTTAAAAGATTTCTCCGTATCCTCTGCTCAGGTTCCTGTTTTCCAAAAAACCTTCTTCTGTACAGACTTTGGAATCTCTTCAAACACAAAATGGGCCTGAACACTAAATCGAGGGACGTTTTTTATCTTTATACTTAAATAAAGGTGTCAATAAAAGAAAAAAAAAGTTATACAGGCTCTATGGGGGATCGATGTCCCACCATATGACAAAACCATGGGACTCTCTGATTGGATGGAGTCGGTATTAAAATCATGAGGACTGAGTGTGCGTGTGTCCACCACACACAAAGCTCCATTCATGGCCAGAGCACGCACATCAGAGGACAGGAAGGGCCCCGCTCCATAAACAAAGAGGCCAAACAGATCACGCTGGCATCTCCTCATTGCATGCTCATGAACTTGCACAAACACACACACACACACACACACACATATTCAAAAGTGTACAAATGTGTACAGCCCCAGCTGCACACTCTATCAAAACTCCAACAGGGGTCAGAGCGGCGGGCCCTCCATGAGCTGTGGGCCGGGTGGGAGATATATCATTACTCCTCAGTGGGTCCTTGGCACAGCGAGGGAAATGGCATGTGAATTTTTAATGGCTCTGACAGACAGATTGTCTCTGCCCTGCATTACCATGCAAATTTGTCCAATAACACGTGGAGCAATATCAGCAGTTCTGGCCCGCACACGGGTCAAACATTAACAGCACCGGACCTCACCTGTTGTTGAATTCCAGTTTCTTTAATCAAACTACTTTCAGGCTATCAATCAGCACGAGCTTTTTTGATGCTCCGGTGCTCCTTACTCACTTAGGCCTGCTCCTGGGATCGTAAACATCCAGTAATCAGACCCCAAAATGTAATCTGATCTAATCTCCTGCTGCCTTGCTTTCTCCTGCCCTCTGGATAAATCCAGCCCTCTGACAGAAACATCTTCTAACAAATTAGATTTCGGTGCAATTTCACCTTCAGAATCCCTCTATGATAAAATCACCAGACTTGGGCTGATGTGTTTTCGCTCGATCGTGTTGTGCGTTGCTCTCGTTTCCAACAGGCGTTGTTTCACAACAGAGAATGGAAAAAGGACGATGGTCCGGTCCTCTGAAAGAGTCTCGTTAGCTCCGGCCAGCAGTACAAAAACCTATTTGCAACTGTATTTCCAAAGAACAGCCAGCCTGACTACTAAACAGATACAAATACTAAATGAAAGCAGTATTGATGTATTTATAGAATCATAAACAAAAAAGGTTTTATGAAGCTTTCTACCTTCTCTGCATCACCACCTGCTCTGTCACACATACAGCAAACCTCTAAACAATAGAAACCCTGTTCGAGAAGGCCATCAAAGGCCATATACATATACATATATGTATACATATTCAAATCACAAAAGTAGTTACTGATTCATTTCTCTACATTTTTTAAGTTTTCTCCCTCAGAAAGACAGTTATGGGTTTATCTGTGGTGCTGAAAATGTCCAAACCTTTTCATGATCAGCTACACGTTTCCTTTAACTGTTGGTTTGTCTGTTTTCTTTGTACGTTTTCAGTCTAAGTGAGGTACACAGGTGACTTGGTACTTCCATGGAACACCAGTTGTTTCCAGCTCACTTTGACACAACTCATTTCACACGCACTAACATCTCGTTCCCTGTTAAATCGTATTTCTGGAACCGGCTGAACACACCTATTTGAATCAATGAGCGATGATCGAGACAATGTGCCAGAAACAACACTATGGGGTCTTATGGTAATAGGGGGGTCCAAGTAGCAGTCCCCACAAATTCAAAAAGACATAGTTATAGGTCATTTAAAATAATGATAAGGTGTGTAAAGGATATTTTTGAGACGGTTAAAGTTAAGGGTAAGGAGTCTCTGAATTCATTGTGTCAATGGAATGTTCCCACAGAGTTTTCGAGAACAAACATCAGTGGATGTGTGTGCCGGCCCATACCACATCTCCCTGTGGTTATCTCCTCCACCAGATTGGTGCCTCCGTTGTTTCAGCAGAAAGTTTGTTATGCTCTGAAGATCCCCAAAGCGGCCATTACTGCCCTCACACACCAGCGGCACACACACACACACACACACACACCCGTCTCATCGCGCACGTCTCGGAGACGTCTTGGACCAAAGTGGTGATGAGACGGCTGGGACACGCAAACACACGCCTCTGCAGAGACTTCACCCCATGAGACAAACACACACACACACACACACACACACACACACACACACAGACACGCTCGTCTAAAGGGAGAAGGGAGGGATGGCAAGGGGAGCTATCTTTGTTCCCATGCTGAGCCTTGAGGATGGTTACTATGGAGACCGGCCTCAAATCTGTTTGCCGATGAAGGGCAGGCAGTCTGCGGGAGCACACACACCGACACACACGCGGTGTCGAGTACCTGCAGACAGCGCAGCACTGCAGCAGTGCAGAAATGCATCGGACACCCAGAACCTCTGAGCTGAGCTGAAACCAAGCTGGGAAACATCTTTGTTAATACAAAAAGAAGACAATTATAACACATTTCTCTCTTTTTTTCATGATTCTCAAATAAATGCTCATTTATACTTCTGCCTAGAACTTATAAATGTGAATTTCTTTCTTTAGAAAGCTGTGGGGAGAAAGATAACAAAGATAAAAAGAGGATATAGAGAGAAAGAGTCGGGGTGACCATTTGCTGAGAGCTGGGGCTGCTTGGGGGAAATGTGTGCCTCTCCTCTGACCTATATTCAGCATGCCTCCGCCGACCCTGACTTGTGGAAATGATTGCATGATGAGTATTGTGTACATGCAGTCATGTGGTGGAGAACGCATCCAAATACCCCAGATTAAAGTCATCTCATTGTACTTTCTGCTTGAGGGCAGGTAGCAAAGGAGCTTTGGCTCATTTAGCAAAGCATAGGAATGTTGAAAAATGTGCGTGCTGAGGGTTGTGTTTCATTTCCAATGCGTTAACACACATTGTTGAACAACTCGATGACTCTCCTGTTCTAATATATCTCCAAAACCTTGCAACACAGCTACCAAAGCTATCACCGATTATCTGAAACCACAGGTCAGAGGATCGATTGTGAAGCATAAAACCTTCCTGAACCCTGCTCGATTAAAACAGATAGCCATGGAAACGCCAAAAAAGTCAAAGAGCGGCAGCTCGGGAAGAGCTCGTCTTTTTCTCAGATCTCTGAAAGTGGCTAGTCCAGCTTGCAATCACTGAGGAATGCGTGTGTATTTGCTTGTGAGTGTGTGTGTGTGTGTGTGTGTGTGTGTGTGCGCACAGCTGCAGCCCTACCGAGGGCCTCCTGCGCACCAACAAAGAGCTGGACGCTGGAACCTCTGGGAACGGCCAAACCCTCCCATCCTCCTCACCTTCACCTCTGCCCCCCGCGCAGCACCCGGGTCAAGGGTCGTCATTTGTGTCTGTGTCTGTGTGTCTTTGCGGGTGTGAGCTTATTTCAGGGGGGGGGGGGGGGGGGGGGCGTGCGTTCAGCTCCAACATCCTCTTATTGTCATGGCAACAGCAAAATAGCTGAGCCAAGATCAGCAGAGAGGCTTCGCGGCTTCTCCCTCTGTGTGGCACATTGTGAAATTCAGTGTGTTTAGCTAGTGTGTGCGTGTGTCTGAGTGTGTGTGTCTGAGTGTGTATGTGTGTGTGGTGGGGCGTGATGCGTTGAGCAGACAAAGACGTATAAGTCAGTCAAGAGGGATGGGGCAGTCAGGGATGAGCATCTCTATTTGTTTTTTGCATGCTGATTTGATGTATTTTTACACACATTTGTGTACAAAAAGGGCTCATTTTACTCTCCCAGACACAATTGACCTCTGTAGTCTTTCAAGCGTGTGTGCAACAACTGGCACATTCAGCACTGAGCCTGGCTATGGCGGAATTTGATCTAGAAGCCTCTAAAAATACCTCTTCCTTTCCCTCAGTGAGATCCTGTGACGTCTCATCCTGTCCCAACAAATAAACACGTTACTCGGCTAACTAGCTCTCTTTCCTGACCACTTCCCTTCCTTCCTTTAACACCTTGCACACCATCTTTAATTAGAACTTTAGAATTAAGAACTTTAACCTTAAACACAACTCCACATTAGAAGAAAAAATGCTATTTTATTAACTATAACTTATTGATCCTGGTGGAATGGCATCTCTGTGGAGATTAACATTATGAAACCAGCCCTGACAGATTTGTATCGCTTGTAAGGACTGTGTGGCTCGTTTTTTGTCTATGCTTCAGAAAACACCTATAGTTTGGAAAACTTTTGATCCTAACTCTGAGAAGTTGTGCTGATAATAGAGATACCAAGCCAGAGCCTTGTGTGTCAAAATTTAGAGATCCTGTGGTCTGAATTTCAAACGAAAAAATACAACAAATTTTTAGGTGCCAATCACAATTTCAAAATACTTTCTTTGAACGTATTGGATACGTCACCACAAACATGTATAAGATATGCTATAATGAATGATGACATTAAAAGGAACTCAGCTTCCTAAAGAAGCCCTTTTGAAAATTCTATTCTGTTGTCCAACTTATCCATGTTCCTCACTAACCTCCTCAGCTTGGATGGAGATGGTGTTTGGTT